CTAAGAAAAAAATTAGAAAGTGGAACTTTGCAGTTATACAAATTGATAAGTACAAAATAAAATTCATGTTATTCAAACAAACATTTATTGTAGAAAGTTCTGAACTATGATTTAATGAGCTATAATAACTAATCTGTTAAACTGGCATATAACTTCTGCCATATAAACTCTTTTTTTCTCGTAGTTTTAGTCACCTCGCAGGCTTTTCTCTACTTCACACAATGAATTCATTTGTGTTTTCAAGTTCTCGGCATTTTCCCGCAACCTTGTTGCTGCCTCCGATTTCGATCCTTCGTGAATATCCTGGGAGGTTGTCACTATTTCGTAAATAGAAATCCCCAAACCGACAACAGCGAAGAACGTTGCCACCTTACCAGCGACCAATGATGTATCTTTAAATGCCTTCAGGCCTTTCAACATCTTAGGGCATTCTTTCAGAACTGATATCTCCGCAGCAGTGAAAGACTTTATTAGCTGCAGGGCTTGGACACTTTTTGCAATGCCACAGGCTGATGATGCCGTGTTGGCAACAAGAATTGTGCCATCAAGACCAACTGAAATGCCCTCCAATTTTACAATCTTTTCAAGTTTGGCTTGCAACAACTCCAATTTCTCAACATAGCCTATCAGAATTTCTACAATCGCACCAAGCTCTTCTGTTTTACTCTTGTCCTTGTCCAAATAATCTTGTGCTGCCTGGCATTTATCTGAAAAAGGGAAAAAGATGGATAATGTCATACACTTTTTGATGTTGCTTGGAATTAACGATGAAGGGGGGGGGGGGCTTTGGCATCTCACGAGTTGTGGGTTTGGCCAATTTTATGATAGAATTTCGGGTTTTGATTATTAAATTTCCCCCTGTGAGTTCTGAAAAACTCTGACATATATCATGTGAGTTTTGAAAAACTCTGAGAAAGGGTGGTCTGAAAGCTAGAATTCTGCAATGGCGGATCCAGGATTTTATCTGAGGGGTGCGAATCTGGGCAACGCTCTGACCATACCCTAAGTGTGCCACGCCCTTGATACAGCTACCTATGAACCATACCCTTAAAAATGATAAGTATACTGTGCTGATTAAACATGGGTGAAAGGTGAAAGATGGACACATTCAAATTTGTCAAAAATAAAAAATAAAATCGTCGTTTTCCTTTTGGTGACATGCTTCATGATTCACAACCCGTCTAGGACATTTGAATCGAATAGAGAACTTGAAAGCAGATATAATCTATACCAACAAAGATAGCTACCCTTCATTTTGGATGATTCTACAATTGATGTGGTAATATTCGTTGCAGCTCCTGCAACTCCTGTAGCAGCTCCAGCAACTGTGAGGCCAAGAGATGCCCCAAATGTGAATGGGGACAATAAAATTCCCCCTAAAGCCATGAGTCCTCCAGCTGCACCGACACTAGATCCAGTCACATTGGCAATGTTGCAGCCTTTATGTAGATCATCACATTCATTGGCAATTTGGTAGAGCTGAGATATCGTTTCCTCTCTAGATTTCTTCCACACAGGCATAATGCGCAGAAAGTTGTTTTTGGCCTCAGAAAAGTTGTTTAGGTGATCAAGAATTTCTTGGACTTCTTTTTCAGAAACCTGGTCCTGCTTTTTCAAGGTTGATTCCTTCTCATGCCCTACGGCCATTTTTCCAGCTGAACAGCCCTTTCCAAGGTAATTGAAAGCTTTTCCCGCCTTTTTCATTGTCTATCTTATCCTACAAGAAACAACTGTATGATATAGCATACCATCAGATAAGGTATTTCAGTGGGATCCCGCTTAAAAGAAACTCAAATTTTCATATCAGGTTGTCTAGTTTCCTATACGCAAGAAAATGAGGATGGATGATTTCTCATATATCAATCACATTAGAAAATATTTTTTACACAAGGCTTTCTTGTCACAAAAACATCTTTGAATTCGAGGATCGTGCTGCATGGTGAAGAATTGTATCGTATCCGATATCCTGGGAATGAATACGCAAGATTTAAGTATGAAATACTTTATCATATTCTAGCTTTGATTGCATGGTTTTCAATTTTTCCCCATTTGTAAGTTATTGGAGAAATCAGGCTTCTTAGTTTCTTAGAAAGAGAAAATATTCACCTTGCTACACACGTTTTTTATAACAACACCTAATTTTTGCCAACCTCAATATTGTTAAATAATTTTGATATGTCCATTTCTTAAAATGTCGTCGTCGGCATCCCCGCCATCATGTAGAAAAATATTAATCATGCCCCCAAGTGGGGTATCCTTTGATAGAAAAAATTCGAATGCAAAATTGTCACATAAATTAAGTTGATAAACAAGTTTCAAGCATTAAATGAGGTAATTTGAGTATAATTAAAAAAGTAACTGAACATGTAACACTACGAAGTTAAGAATTTGTTTTGTAATTGTACAGGGTTGTCATATCACTCCACACATGTCTCGCACCTTCATCGCTAAAATACTTTTTGTTTTTTGAGAAAATCCCCCAGAAGTTACTTGAAATCCTATTGTTCTAAGAAGTATCGGAAACAACCATACAAAATCTGGAGTATGTAACAAGGCCATTCAATGCATTTGTTATGGAAGCACTTGCAAGAAATAAAAAGATTATGGGGAAGGTGAAGGTTCTGTAGGCTAGAGCACTGGTTATTCCTGAATTCTACTCGGCTCACACTTCTCAATAATTTGCCAATGATTTGTCAACGATTATTCCTGGTTTATTCTGTTATTAAAATGATCAGTTTTAGGAAAAAGGGACAGAACAGTTTGAATAATGTCGAATTAAATATACATTTCGCACTGTTTTCGAGGCCGGGCGTTTTGAAAGTTTCCATGAGTAACCGCGTGAATTCTTAGAAACGTGCCCTGATTTTATAGAAAAGCCCCATGAGTTCTTGAAATGGCTGCCTGATTTCCTAGAAAAGCGAAAAGCCGCCCGACTGAAAAGCCGTTCTCTGGTTTCCACGCCAAACTCGCCGTGAAAAATTTGCCCTATTTACAAATTGTTGTGATTTATTTTTGTACATTATGTGTTTGGCCGTAGCAAGAGCTCAAAATAGGAACTGGGACCAGAGCAAAGCTGCTGAGACCCCCAGATAATATATAGAGTAAAATGTTATTTTTCAAAATATTGCTAAAAATATCAAAATTAAAAAAGAACGAAATGAAATTAGGTCACGTTGCGGTATCAATGTGCAATGGCTTATTATAATCAAAGAAACGAAACGAAATTCTGCGAAATACTGCGAAATACTTCAAAATATGAAAAAATATGGTCAAATAACAAAGTACGCCAAAATTCTCAAATCGTATCATAAATATTCACTTTCATGGACCCAGTGCGGAAGACAGACCAGCCATGAGCATACAGAAAAAGCGGAAGAAAGAGTTTTAAATTTTATGGCGTCTTCTTTGTCTCTGCTGACCCTCTAGAGACCTAATAATCAGACAAGTCGGTCATATCAAATTTTTGAGTTTATCGGCGCCCTATACAAGCCTTGGCGCCCCTTTAAAAAAGTCAGATGGGGCGCCCTGGCATTGACATTAGCCTAACAGCAAAAAAACCACTCACACACGAACTGCAGCGCGCTAGAATTTCCAAGCGGAAATCTGATTATTATTGTCAAATTTGAAAAAGGGTTCTCGATTTACAACTTTGGCAAAGATAATGAGTTTTATATCAGAAATCGTTGCGCCTAGGGCCAAAGCAGTATATTCCATACGTACCAGGGACGAAAACAAGTTGCTAATTTTGGGGGGGCGTGGAAGTATGAAAATTCCAACTTTAAGTGATAAATTTTTCATTCGACCAGTAGATCTGTTGTACCTACCAAATTGATATTTGTAAATAGCCCGAACACCATAGTTCTGTTTTCTTTATAATTACCAAATCTTTACTCAATAATTAGCCTAAAGCATAAAAGCCTAAATCTCTAAATTTTGATTAACATGAAACAAACATTAAACATACTGTAAGAAGTAAAGCAACATTTAAGCAAAACCAGTATTAGATATACTTAATGATTAGTAGTATTCTTTCAGATCAATTGATCAATTTTATCTAAAATACATTTTTTCACGATATAGAAGCACCAAGAATTTGGGCCTTTTATTTTCGTTCTTGATCGAAGAAAACTACCTTTAAACTTTTCAGAGGGCCAAATGCCTTTTCATTCTTTACAATTGAAATGATGATTTGAGAACAAACTTGTGCATATGCCTGATTCGAAAGATGAAATACTCTTCTTTGATCAAATACTTCTACTGCAGTTTTTGCAATGTGTTCTTGCTCCACAGCAGTTTTGTCATAGGAATTTATGAAAGGACTCAAGGACATTAACAAATAACAGGGGGAGTTTAGCATAAACTCGTTTTTTATAAGAAGCGTTGAGAATTTTTAGTACTGAAAGATTCTTAATCTTTTATTGAATTAACTACTCGTAGTTTTTAAAAAAATTCCCACTCTAATATTTTCTGATCAATGCGGGTATTATTATTCCAAACTGTAAGTTTCAAGTTTCTTATCCGTAAGTTCACCTTGCCTGTTCGTAATTTGATTCAACTCCCGTCAGAAAGAAAGAAAAAGAAAACGGGGCAAGTGTGCAATTTGGATCCAGTGGAGACGGGATTCCCAATAGAAAACGATTGGATGGGTCAGCTTCAGCCTGTGAATTTTAATGTTTAGAATTTTTATATTTAAAATAAAAAAACTTCTTAAAATATAAAATTCACAAGTTTAGTCTTAAGAAAAAAATTCCAAGTCAACCGTTACGTTTTCCAACTGTAACTGGATTTTCCAAACTTTGGGGGGGCGTTACGCCCCCCACGCCCCCCTATTATTTACGTGCCTGATACGTACAATGCCTGCCAAAAGTCTTGGAACACCGACAATTTCCAAGGTCAAAACCAATCATCCCCCTCTCCCCTACAGAACAATGTTGGTTTACTATCAAACGGGTTAGGATTGTAGGAAGCACTTTCTTTTGCACTTCTTTAATGATATTTCTCTAAATCATCAACATTGTTTTAGGGGGAAGGGGGCGGAAGTAGCAATTTTTTTCATGAAAGGAATGGAAGATATCAAATGCAGCGTATATTGGTGGTGTTCCAAGTACTTTTGGCAGGCATTATAGATTTTGTCACTAATTTATCTTGACCCTAGAGAAGGATGGAATTGAAAACAGCCCTGACCAGCATTAATAAGAAAAGCAACTTGAACTTAATTTTTTAGATTGAAAATATATTATTATAATGATATTTGATTAAAATAATAAAGCGCAACGGCGCTTACAACATTAAATCAATATATTTGTATGTATGTTGTATGAATATAGCCTACCTCGAATGCAATCCTTCAAGACGTAAAAAACGTTGAAGTGACGGAAAATGTCGACGTGGAGGCTCTGTCTGCAATGTATCGACCAGTCTTTGCGACGAAACTCGCTGACTTTTCCAAAAATCTTTGGATCCAAGATTTTTGTTATAGTAGCTGCGTGCTATCATCAACAAGAAAGCGGAATAAAGGCGCATAAATAGTCCCTCAGTTTTATATTGTGCCAGCTAAGCTTTTTTTCATGGAAATGAATGTCGACAATAAGAATTTGATTCTGACTGGCTTCTCGGATTCTGGCTATCCCCTCTTTTGAAGGGGCTACAAAAACACGCGACTTGTAATTTTTTGTTTTACTATCTCTCATCATGTCTGGTTTTCGTGGAAAATGCTAAGTAAAACAAGTCAGAAAGACCAGTGTCGCAGCGGCTTGGGTTCTTAATATTTCGTAGCGTTTTAGACACTCATTTTCGTTTTATAAAGCTTGGGTCCCACTAGAGCCAAAATACCCTAGGAATGCGTTGAGCAAAATGCGTTGGAAATATACAGGAAATATAGGAATTCTCTTTATTATCATTTCCAGGAATCAGGGATAGATGGAATGGATCGCTCTTGTAAAACTGCCAAGAAACCCCCCCCCCCCAGAAAAATAACTGTTCTCTTTTTGTTGATAAACTCTATCTTACTTAAATTATATCTAAACGTAAACCACATTAACTTTAAAGGGCCTCTCCAGCCAAACAAAAAAAAAATTTTATTGACTAAAAAGTTAGCATCTTGTGCGTATATTATGGCAAAGTCGTTGTTTTTGCAAAATTCCAATTAGTTTAGAAGTTGTAAGGCTTTAAAGTTACACCTTTCCGAGAAAAAAATGACAAAAGCCGAATCAGTTTTGTGACATTCTGACGTCACAGTGTGCGGCTCTCGTTCGCCATGAATTTCGTATATCTTCCACCGAATCGTGAAGGAGTCATGGTCACGCGTTGATAACTGCATCTAAATCTACAGCAGGAGCTTTTTAGGGTCGAAAAATATTAAATGTTTACAATCATTCTAAGTTTGCGGGTCGGAATGTGCCCATGCTGTGTCACGACTTTGTTTTGATCACCTGTGTAGGCCCACAAAGCTACGACTTCCTGTTCCAGCGCTTCCCTCGCGTATAATTAATCGAAATTGACACTTCAGTTGTTTTCCAGAAACGATGAACAACTAAAGGCTTCAGAATTGATATCTGAAATGCTCAAACTAAAAGCCGGTGGAACAGAACTGAGTGTACCATCACTTGCAGTGTTCAATTTGCGAATCGCCGTCGTTCGAATCGGTTTGAGGCGAGACTAACGAAATACACTGTGACGTCAAAGTTGCGTCACAGTGTCACCAAACCGAAAAATTTTTGTCGGTTAATTTTGGCAAAATTCAAATCTTATTTCAAAAAAGTTTGGTCAGCTATAAAAAACTCATAAATTAATCTAAAAAAATTCTGCCAACGTATGTCTAAATATCAATATAAACTTGTCCAAAGCCCCTAAAAAGTAGAAAACAATTTCAATAAAGATTTTTTTAACAATAGCTGAGAAACTTTTGGAAAAACTTCCTCCAACTCTAATAAATCACAAAGACTTCACCTCTCCCCAACAGTCTTTCGATACTTCCAACAACAGCAATTGAACTCTAAGATCTTTTTTTGTTTCTATTATCTTTAAACAAGCTTGTGTAAATGAAAAAGGTCTGTCACTAGAAAAGAACATAAAAATGAGAAAGACGCAGTATTTTGGACATTTAATAAGAAAAGACAAAATGCAAAAATCATTGCTAGAAGGAAAAGTATGTGCGAAAAGACCAAGGGGACGTCCCCCTAAATCGTGGATGAAGAACATCATGGAACGGACAAAGTTAAACTTTGAGCAGTGCATAAGAGGGGCTGAAGATCGTGACTACTGGAGAAGAGTAACGACGAAATTTCTTAAAATGAAACAGTCACCGAATGATGATGAAACAAGCTTGTCTTGCTATCTATTTTTCTGCTTACGGGTATGGGTTGTTTGGCCATATTGACCACAGAGGTTACGGGGTTTTTTCTGGATAACGTACAGGATCGTCGGTTTTGAATATCGGATTTTCCAATGTTTTGAATGGGTTTAATGGGGATATAAATCAATATATTCAGGGCTCAAGCCACGAATTTGAAAATGGGGGGACCAAGGCTAGCAAAAGTTGGAGGCCAAGGCTTCTTTTCCCTTTTGATACAGTTTCAAAACTATTTGCTTGGCACAAAGTGGGGGGCCATGTTCACCCTGTCCCCCCGGTGGCGTAGGAAATTACCTGTATGAGCAAGCCTTTGTTGGCTGTCAATGACCTAAATTGTTTGTAACAATGGAAAATCACTAGGGCCCTAGTTTTCCTACATCGCTCGTGCAAAATGGAATAGAGAGAGGTCAAATGTTAAGTCACATGTTTCGCAAGTCTTATCCATTGTCAATATGTATTTGTTTCGTAAGTTACATCGAAACATTTTGGATAATAATAATCGTACTTTGACCTGATATCACCAGAAAGAATAGGGTGCGTTTTGGAAAGATTATGTAAGTAAAAAACGAGAACTGGCCTCATGGATATCCGCTCAAAACGGGAATGAAAAGAGTCAAGTAAAGCTAAAAATGGCTTTGATAAACGGATTAACGCTTGTCACAACTTTGTTGTCAATCTTGTTAGGCACGGCTCATTCGAACATAAATGAAGAGGAATGGCTTCTAGGAAACATGGCAATCTCGGAAGAATCAGAAAATCAAGACTGTCATCATTCTTGGAACGCTTCAGTCAGCGTGACGATATTTATTGCCACGTACGGTAATGACAGCTCAGAATGCGTCTGCGGCAAGACTACAAAACCTTGTCAAAGCTTTCATTATGCCTACTTCCTTGCGACCAATATACTTAGCAATGCAACTGAGAATATCACATTCAGTTTCATTGAAGATGTTTTTATTTGGTCCGATCCTGTCTTTATTAACAAACCAGTTCCTTCACTTCGACGAATGACAATAAAGTCGGCATCTAGGCCAGGAACCACAATCGTTGCTAAAAATCCAAATGCTGTTATTTGGGTCGGCTGCAATGAAACGAATGATTACAATCCTTGTATCACTTACGGTTTGACAATAGAGGATATCATTTTTACTAAGTTTGGGAGTAATTATCCAGCAGTTTTAGTTGTTTTTACAATACCTTGGCTCGAGATTGACAACTGTGAATTTTACAATAATAACTGTTCTGGTGTAAATCTACTGGAAACACCAGTTACTTTAATTAGATCAAGATTTATTCAAAACTATGGAACTGCAAATTTTGAAAAGCAGCGCAATAACCTAACATTTGGGTTTCCAATGTCGAATACCTCAAATGGTGGGGCTTTGGCACTCATATTTCGGTCAAAGTATGAAAAATCTGTATCAATAAAAAATTGTGAATTTAGACATAACAAGGCAGCAGAGAATTTGCTGATGCCATTTATTGCACACACTTTAGGGGACACCGCGTTCCCAAGGATCGGTGGTGGAGTTTTGTTACTGTTCATGAAAAACTGTTCGAAAAAGTCGGTTTTAATAAGTGATTCAAATTTTTATAAGAATGGTGCATATTCTGGTGGGGCAATAGCAATTCTTGCAGAAGGCTTTGCTGGCAGCAACACAGTTGCTTTGGAGAGCAGCACCTTTATAAAAAATGTTGCAAAATCGTCATCTGGGGCAATATTATTTGCAAATTGGGATTTTTCAATTGAACATCAATTAACAATAAACAATTGCTCATTTATAGGGAATGAAGCTAGATTTGCTGGGGCTATCAAGTATTTGCTAAATAATTTGCACCAACAGAGGAATGTTTCTCACTTGCTAACAATTAAGAACTCTGAAATCAATTCAAATTTAGCTGTAACTGGTGCTGCTGCTCATTTTATACTTGGATCACGACAGAGGTACTTTACAAGTGCAGTTCACATTGTCAATACAACATTTTCCCAAAATGAAATTTCAACATCAAAAAATGATAGTTCAAGCAGGTCTCAATATGGTGGTATAATTTTAACTCACAAAATAGACATTACATTTACTGGCCATAATACGGTTAAAGCTAACAGAGGTGGTTGTGGATTGTATGCCTCAAACTCAGATATAAACGTAAATGGCACCTTGATTTTCGCAGATAATGTTGCACCATCTAGTGGTGGTGCAATGACGCTGGCAGATACAAGCCATCTGATTATGTATCCAAGGTCCCATTTAAAATATGATGGAAACCATGCTGGTACAAAGGGTGGTGCATTGGCCGTCTTTGCAGTTGGGATGCCAGCACTGACATATGTTTTCAATCCTTTCTGCTTCCTCCAATATAGCGAAAGAAATTTGCCATACTCTCAATGGGATGTAAGTTTCAGAATTTTTTTTAATAGCTGAAAGGTTTTGATTATAAAATTTGTCAAAAAAATGTTAAATAATACTGTAGTTATCCAAGTCAGAAATGGAAATTATGTTTTGTTGTTTCATACACAAAGGCAAGTTAAGGTATATTGTTACTCTAACAGCTATAACATCCATGGGAAAGCCAAGGTATGTTAACAAAGTAAGGCTTCAATTAAACTTTTATAATTGCACAATAGAGTGGAAACATTTTGTGACATAATAGAAAAAATTTAATTTCCTCACAAGGCGCCATACTTCTTGACCTTATCATTTCAGTACAGCTGCAGATATGATATCTGGTTCTTATCAGAAACTGACATTTTTTGCAATTTGTTTATTAAAAAAAGACAAAAATCTTCAGATAGAAATTCAAGGTCTGATATGCCTATAGAAAATCATTACATAATCTGTAGGAATGGTATGGCAACCCAAAATGGCTATCCTAAGTGGAGGTACAGTGTGAGTTCCACTTAGTTCAAATTGTACCCTTTCTTGCAATGATCTTTTTTTTTGAAAAAAAGTTGTTTTATTTTTTAGACCAGAATCGAGTTCATTAAAAATAGTGCCGAAGTGAAAGGTGCAGCAATCTTCATAAATTCCTTATCAGCCTGTCTGTGGTCTGAGGATCCTCCACATAATAGTTACTCAAAGGCTCTCAAGTGGAACACCAAGTTTGTGTACAGGGAAAACTTTGTGAATGACATGTATGGTATTTTGACTGGCTATAGCAATGATTCTCTGTATGATGTGGATATTGCCACAGATACTAACAAGCTTGAACTTGAAGAGTCAAAAGAGGTAAATTGATTTATGTAACAAATTGATTGTGTTTTTAAGTGGCAAATTGGAGTGGGTCCGAAGTGAAACAACCAACATCAAAACTTTAATTATTTTAGAGCACTTTTTAAAATATAAAAGTAAGAAACGTCCTTTAACAGTTTCAAATTTTAATATTTTGACGGGAATCGCAAACTTTTGAAACTGTTTTCAGCCTTCTTGAAATGGCTGGATATAATTAGGCAATGTATTATTGTGGAGTTTCATGTCAAGCCAGAAGAATTATTTTAATTAATAATTCTTTGGTTTTCAAGAACCATTTAAATCATAGTTTTGATGTTTTTGATACAAAGCCAAACATTTTCAATGATGTGAAAATCTGGACTAAATGGACGCCACCGAGAAACTTGAATTCTTCTTGTTTGGAAATAAATTGTGTTAAATTGGTTTCCTTTTACACAGGTAACTTTTTAAGACACTCATTCTAACTTGTCTGAAAAGATTTTGAGCTGAAAAACCTTGCGTACCCTTGAGTTTCATTTGTCCTTAAGTCCTTAAGTGTAAACGCTGTGAAGTGAAAGAGACAAATTCTTTCCCCTCTAAAATTAATTTTTTTACACGCCCACTGCTCAGTTTCTTTGCTACTGAAACACTCTCGAAAAAAATGTTTTTAAATTCTCACAGCTGTTGTGTGGCTACTTCTAACTTGCTCACCAATTTTCGAAAATTAAAGTCCTCTTTACCATAAATATTTTATAGCAACTCACCTCTCATTTGGCATTTTTTCTCCCTTAGGCATGTTCTATATTTCTACAAACAAAACTTTTCTGTGTATTTTGCACATTTCACGCAATAATTTTTTCTATGGTGTCAGCAAGATTTTCAAGAATTTCCCGCCAAAATTTGCTATCAAGTACACCTATTTCATACAATTCATGCATTCAAATGTTTGGTATGATTGAAAATTTTACAAAAAGTGCCGCCATTTTGAACAAGGTGGTGCAATACTTTGTTAGGGGAGTGTATAATGTCATTGCTAGAATTTATTTTAGGCTACAGAGACATGTATAGAAACAGTAATGTTAGACCTGTGATCAGCTATAACTTTTCAAAAAGAAATTAGTTAGGTGCCGCATGTTGGTATTAAGTTTAGCACATTTTTTTCGTTCTTTAACCCTGACACTAAAAACAAGTTGACATGCAACACCATCTTTATGAACCAGAATTGTTTGTTGCCTAGAAGCTATTCATCTCCTTCTTAGTGCTGGATCTTTCGGCTGAATGCCAGAAAAGTACGATGACCAAGGTATTTCTTCAACTTACCATGATATAAAATTTGTCATTTATCTAAAAATAATGTAAAGCAAATTGAAGTATTTTAAAATTCAAATTATTAGTGGCAACTGATTTTTCTTTTGTTATTTGAATTGCATTCAATTCAGTTGTTTTGTTTTAAACAAGCATCATTTATTGTGTTTTGTAGATATCGCTAGCTCCTGGAGAGACTGTCAATCTCAACCTTCAAAGCTTTGATGAACTTGATAGTCAAACGTACAGTGTCCCATTTGCTCAGCCTGTTGCACTAACAAAATATGGAAATATAGTTGGAAGTGAAATTGAATTGCCTTACAAATATTTCGTACTGGACCCTTTTGGAAAGTCAAAGGATATAGCTTTGTACTATGAAATCAATCGAGAGAATTACCCGCCAAACCAAAGCTTGTTGCACGAAATACAGTTTTTCGATACTCGCTCATCATTTGTCACCATGGCAACCTTAAGACTCAATCTTTCAAACTGTCGAGCTGGGTTCAAATACAACGGAAAAATATGTGTATGTGACAATAACAATAAATTCATAAAAAGGTAACCATAAGCTCTTGTTTTTTATTTTTCTAGTCTATTAAAGTCCTTTAAACTTCTTCATTCCTACCAAATGACACAGCTATTTGTAACTTTCAAGGCATGTAAAATAATTGGAACTTATACCAACTTTAGCAACATCTGAGATTTCAAATATATACCTTGCTGTACATGTTTGACCAGCCATGTTTGACGAGATTCAATTTTCACCAAGGCTCCACTGTCTTCTTCCACATTTTTTCAGCACCAGCCTTTATCTTTTGTCTTCATCGACTTTTCCTGTATTCTTGTATCCTGTATTGATTGTCCCAGTTTTGTTTTCGTAGTTGCCAGGGCACAAAAGTCTACCTGAAAAACGGCATATGGGCCACTGATGACAATGGGGACTTGAAGGGCCACTACTGCCCGGACAATTATTGCAAGTGCACAAAAGTGGATTCCCAAGTGAGCTGTCAATTTGATTTTAAAAATCCGGACACGCAATGCGCTGATGGCAGAGCTGGTCCTCTCTGTGGCAGTTGTCCCAAGTCCAGATGCATTTCTTTATATGACGGTAGCTGTAAGAAATCTTCAAAAAGTAATGTCGTAAATGGGAAAGGAGGTTTTGCCTTTTTAGTCGTTTCTGTTGCAATAGTTGCTGTAATTGTTGTATACCTAAACCCATCTTTTTCAACAAGCTTGCGTGGGCCTGTCTTCTACATTCAAATGCTTCCGTACATCTTTACTACCAACAGTGGAAATTTGGGCTTCTTTGTGCGCGGTGCAGCCTCACTCATTGCCCTTGGCGGAACTTCTGGTTTGCCCATTCCAGGATGCCTTGGCAGTGACTGGAACAGACTTGAAATCATTGCATTGACGTATATTTTTGCCGCTACCATCTTGATTATCCTTCTTTTCACGTATATCATGAGTCGATGTTACGTGTTGAATTTCGTCAGGGACTCGCCGTTTGAAGCATTCTGGATTCTCCTAATTGCAACGTATTGCTTCTTCAGTGAAACATCACTCATTTTCTTCCGCTGTACAAAGATTGGAGGTAATTTATTTGAAAAATATACTTATCCGTCTCGTATCTAGTGATAACTAGTGATAACGCTAGACATTGGAAGTTCAACTGATCACTTTTAGCAAGCATTCGGATATATGTCACCATTTTAGCCCGTGACAAAAGGTAGCGTTTATTTAAAGAAGTAAATTCGAAAATGACAGCTTAAGCAATAACACCAAATCATTCGTATTGCATCCTTTTTTACATTTTTTCTGCCAAAGTATGCCATGCCGAATCGCCAAAGAATGGTTGAAACGATTAAACAGGGACATAATATGATCCTACAATCAATCTATACAGAACAATGTACCACTTGTAAATCCTTCATCCCTTAACCTATTATAATAAGCCATCGAAGATGTTTTAAACTGCCTTTATAAGTGTTTCAATTCAGTCATTCTTTTCGGGTTTTTCCTTTTACGATTCCGTTTACCTAAACGGAATTTTTTCTACAGAAAAAGTAAGATAGTAGAACTATTATTATTTAAGTTCCAATATTTATGTTGTCACTGATAAAAGTATCAGTTTAGTTAACTGGTTGCCCGTCCTGTTTATTTCCTGGTATAGCTTACCTAGATGAAAAAATCCCCTACTTCATGGTTTTGAAGAAACCCTGATATAGTTTATTCTCAGTACAAGCAACGCTGATTTCCGTTATAAATGTGGTTGAATTGAATCGGAGAGAAGACGTCTTTGAAAGAATAACAGCTTAGAGAAATCAGCTGCATGAAAAGCTAGTTTGATTTGTGGATCCTCTTTGTGTATGATATCGTTTTTTGTAAAACTTGATAAATTTACAATTTATAATTATTTACCTTTGGTCAGGCTAGAGCCAGATGCATGCAGTATTGAAGAAGTCTTTTCGATATGTGTAAGTAAGGGCAGCAATCTCATTAGGTATGGGATAACTAGTCTCTTCTATGCCAAAGGATTTTGACCACTAACACTTGTGGCTAGTTTCATATTCAAACGTTTTCCCTCCCCCCCCCCCCCCCTTCCTATCTATCCTGGGTTTTGCCGGTCTTTCGATTGGCTTGCTCTTCTCGCCAGCCACTAGGCTCTGGGAGGGGAGGGGGACAAAACAAAAGCTTTGAAGGCCACGCCCTTTTTTACACCATAAAACGCCCTTTTACCAACATGGAACACTAATTTTACCTGAAGAGGTCGCCCATGGCTAACTTCTGGTTACGTAAAGGCAGTTTGAAAATCATAGGATTACATCACAAAAAGTACGATCCCAAAATATTACACCTCCCCCCAACATTTGCTCATCGAATTCAGACGAAATGCAAAATCGGTCCTGCCGAGAACTGGGGGGGGGAGGGGGTGGGGACGTAGCGCCGCTACTGACGCGAAATTAGGCTGTTTTAGGAACTCTTAAATTGATTTGTGGACACCATTGGAACATTTTCTCTGTTTTCAATGTTATTTTTTCTTTTTCAGGGGAAAATAGGTTTTTCTATGACGGTACAGTGACCTGTTACGAGGGATTGCACCTTGTTATGACAATAGTAGCCGTAGTGGTCCTTGTATTTTTTGTGGTATTGCCGCCTCTTGCGGTGCTCTTAATATGCTATGGTGTCATCAACATCCCACTCCAAGTCATTGATGCCTTTACAAAGGGCCTGAGGTATTTCACGCATATTTTTCAGCTCTTTTTTCATTTTAAAGCCTGCTTTTCATATATCGTAACCCGTCGGCGATGATCCCCGATGCACAGCATTCCTGATGGTCGGGGATGATCCCCGATGGTCGGGGACGATCCCCGATGCTATAAACAATATTGAAGCGCCAAAACTAGAATTTTGATGAAAGTTTGGGAATATGGCTGCTGATAAAGGCCAGTAGTAAACTTTTGATACTATCATCGATCTATGATCAACAGATTGACGATAATGATCAACACATTAATAATTTCGGGATATTTTGCAAATGAAAATTCATTACAACAAAGTAAGAAACTTTCCCCGCGCACCCAACAGAAAATATTGCTTCAGAAGAAGCCATTGTTACAATGAAGATAATAAAGGAGAGGCAAATTCCAGTATGAATTTTCTTGGGAAAATTTCTGTTTAGTGGATTATGTAATGATCATGACATAGCTGAAGATTCACCCTGATTCACCTTAAAAAAATGGATCTACAAAAATGGATAAAAAAAAGACTAGGAATCAAACTAGGAATTATAGCCTCCTAATGTTCCCTGTACTATCGAAAGCATTCCAGTTTTTCCGCGAAACAGTTACCCTCACTTCAGTTCAAATGAACTCACTTTTGACAGAACATTCCTGATCCATTGTTCTCTTTACTATTGTTCGTCGTGAAGCGTCGGGAAGCGTCGGGAAGCGTCGGGAAAGTCAAATTATTTTGACTTTTGCGATGATCGGGGATGATCGCCGATGGTTCCCGATGACCCGGTTTTCATATGTCATAAACCATCGCAGACTGTCATAGACCATCGGGAAGCTGCGTCGGGGATCATCGCCGACGAATTACGATGTATGAAAACCAGCCTTAAGAGGCTTCATGGTCCTCTAGGTGAGGAACTCACTCACTATCATATTATTGAAGGCAATGTATATCTTTATCCATCCATTTATTTATATCTTTGCTTGCAGAGACGAGTACCGGTGGTGGTGGGCTGCTGATCTGTGTCGCAGATTTGCTTACATAGCAGTTTTTGTTTTCATAAATTTAAAGGGAGTACGACAGGTAAATACCTTTATGCGTGCTAATCATTAGATTTGTGAGGACCTAATAAACCCTTGCTTTTTATGTGTGGTCATTGCTTTTTTTAATTAAACAATTATACAATTATTTATGTCTTGAAAACTTCCAATTATTTATGACCTTTATATACCTCTTTTGTGTCTTATAAGCATAGCCTCGTTATCGCCTTGTCCCTCTAACCTATGGCGTAATCCCCATTGTCATGAATGCTTCACTTTATTTTAGAAATACGTTGGCCTACGGGCATGTAAGTTCAGTTGCACGATTTGTAAGCGATAAATGTTCTAAGCAACGCATTTTGATATATTTTTTGTCATGCAATCAAATCATTGTACCTGTTTCATCAAATATTCTTATATTCTTAGACAGCCCTACTATGGCAACCTTTCTCCGGCCTAGAAAATCTTGCTTTAAAACCTTTCTTATTTTTAATGGGTCTAAAATGGGCGTGGTCAGGAAATGGGATACTCAACTAGTCTTGATCTCCTCTCCTGGCAACTCTGTTTTTTTTCAAAACCTTTCTAGAAATTTGTAGTTTGTTATAGTTATAGATATTTTAAGGGATCGATGTAAAGTAAAATGCTTATATCGATTGATAATAAATGCGTGTCATAATTTAAATATATAGATAACAAAGAGTTAATGCCTACATTTTACACTGCAAAGCAGTTATTGCAGACATATTCATAATACAAAGAGGGGTTTTTTAATTTTATTTTGATTTTTTTTCATTTTTTTACATGGTTTATTTGGAGAACCAAAAGACTATAACACAATCTTTTAACTTCTTCAAGATTCCAAATTTTTGGCCACCTTCCTCAATTTCACTTTGTTTCTACAACCATCCTCTGGTCAGTGGCTGTGGGGCAATGATGTTTTTCAGACTCTATACTATCGATTCTCTTCGTTTCTAGGTTGCCTATATAATCATGTCCAACTTCATTCTGGCCGTGCACTGTTTCTGCCAACCGTACAGAAGCAATTGGGCAAACATAAGCGAAGCGTTTATTTTGCTCTCTATGTCGATGATTGCGACATTGCAACTGGCTGATACAGAGGGTGATGGGTATCTAATAGCAAGTGTCATCGTCATATCAAATTACGTATACATGATATCTATCTTCTTGCATAAACTGTTCTTCTTCGCCAGGGCACGGCTACGCAAGAGGTTCCCTTTTTTCTTTAAGCGAATGAAAGACGAAACTGCCATTCAAGCATCGCGGAGGTCACAGACCCCAGAACGAGTAGAGGGCGATTCTAGCTGACTTTGAAACCAGGGGCGGACACTTATATTGGGGGGGCAAGCCTATTGTTTTAATAAGATGACGTCACATTTCCCATTGTTTTGGAACAAAAGACCATTGCCCTCCAAAGTATTGGGGGGCGGTCGCCCTCCCTCGCCCTCCCAAGTGTCCGCCACTGTTTGAAACCCGAGTCCACTTGGATTGGTCCACTTTAAAAAAGAAAGTAAAAGAGAAAACTTGTATTTATTACAAGCGCGAACTGAGCTTATAGATTTAAAACTTTGATTTGCGGTGAGGAATTTTTAAGTTAAAGTTAATTTGTTTTAGTTCCCCGATACATGAAACTTTGCCGAAAGTTTCCTGAAACGGGAAATTCTATTGTTAAGTTTGGTATTTGCATATATTATTTAACTAAAGAAGATATTCATCAACAGAAGTTATTTCTGGGTTTAGGGTTTATAGGAGGCAATTTGACAGATAAGAAAGGCAATTTCTTTTGTGACTTGCAATAGTGCTCAATAAGTAAAACCTTTGTTTAAATTGATTTTCAGATAACACATTTGAATTTAAAAATCATCTTCACGTACAATATAATTATAGTATAACCATCTTTTTATATATATATGGTAATTATATATATATATATTTATATAGATTATTATATCAATTATGGTAATACAATATTCTATATATATATGTATATATAGGCTTTAAGCCGAAACAGAAGAAACTAAAACTGCCTTGGCTACGGTGAGATCTCCAGTGTTGGCTTCAGAGATTCATCGCTCATTTCATTGGGCCATATATATAGATATATATATATATAAATATAATATATATATTATAATATTGTATTGTTTGGTATCGAACCACTCTTGGTCGAATCGAACTCCAGTTTGCTGCTTCAAAAACCCCCGCTCATTCCACTGAGCCAAACGGCCCAATGAAATGAGCGAAGAACCTCTGAAGCCAACACTGGATATCTCACTGTGGCCAAGGTAGTTTTTTGTATATATATTCCGATGATAACGTCGTTTGTGAAAACGAAATACCTGAAAATGGGAAAATGGAAATACTCTGTCAGACTGGTAGTTTGGTGTAGATAAACACCCCTATGGTGCAGCCCCTGAATTATGGCAAACACATGCACTGGCAAAAGTAAAATACCTTGAGGGGTTGGAAATTAATTGTGTTTTGATGCTTGCTGCAACCTCTACGCAAATGAGGCAGCCTCTATTATTAGATGCGCAGTATTTGACCAATGGAACCAATGCGACCACATTCATTCCAATCTTTGATATTCTAAGATTTCCATGATTAACAAGCATTTAGCATTGGGCGAAAAACAGATAAGGTCATGAAGTTTATTCGAAAACCCTTTAAATAAAGAAGACCGAGGTGTGAATTTGTGTGCTTTAATTTCAAGTTTATAATTAGAAGTATGTGATTAGAAATTGCATACAATTGGATTTCAAAACTATAGTTGATTTTAGTTTTATATATTTTGATCAATAGAATATGTGGTTTGCATAATTATTGCCGTGTTTTTGCTCTCTTGTGAAGAGAATTGATACAATGATTCATATGAGTTCGTTTTTAATGTATTTTGCATTCTATTTGTATTTTGTATTAGATTTAAAATGTTACTGCCTGGCGCATAAAAAAGACAACAAGCATTTGTTTAAATTTGAAATATGTTTTAATTACCTGATAAATGTAAAGGAATAATTTGATCAGAACCTTGAACTTTCTGTAAAATGCGTTCTTCAGGAGAGTTAAGCACAGAAATCTTTAGCCATGGTGATGCAGTTCTGCGCATTTCTGGCAGTTTGTAGCCCAATGCCAGCTTCGTTTAAATTGTTTTTCTGAGGAGGATTTCCAAACATCAAGAAAAGTCCCAAGGAAAGATCAACACTTTTCTGATTTTTTACTTTCATGCATCTTTTATCCATTAGAATCACGGTGAGGTGCCGGATGATACACCACGTTGCGTCGCCATATTCACAAGAAAACCCGTAATTGTTGGAAGGGTAGAACTATTACCTGTTCTCTAAAGCTACCATCAATATCAGTGAAAATATATGGAATAGAAAAAATACATATTTATCCTAAAGTACTAAATATATATGAATTTGCACTAATAATTCCCGTTTCAATTAACAGCTAAAAGTAACAAGTGTTGATATGATAAAGAGTATATTCTATGCTGCTGGAATCAGGATTTTTCTAGGAATATACCCCATGAAATACAAATTTTTGACCCTTAGTTGACCAGCATTCAAGTAAAAACAAAGAACAGATTTAGAAAATGGAAGCCTAAAATGAACGAAGCATTTCTCCAGTGTTTTTGTTGAAAAGATCGTTTTCTAGAATGTTGCGTCTTTCAAAGTGAACTTGTAAATGAAAATCTTTGCAGAACTGTTTGTATGGCAGCTTATTTGAGGACTCACTGTAGTCACTAAACTGTCCTCTGGCTGGGTTCTGATAAATTCTGGCTTTTGTATTAAATATTTGCCCATTTTCAATCATCGGTCTTGTGCTTGCGTTTTTCTGATTGGCCTATTTCGATCCATAACTGGGTATATATTTTTTTATCGTGTTCTTTCGGACCTTTATTCTGACGTTTCATGCTCTGAGGAGTTTCAGACGAAAAAGCTTTTAGTTACTATGTTGTGAAATGTTTGCTTTTTTTCAAAGCCATTTTCAAGTTATGTACCGCCAAAAAACTTTAAACAATATGATATATATAATTTCAACACAAACCCTAATTACAATTTTCTATTATAAATTAAAATAAACACCCGGAGTATCCTTTAAAATGTTGTATACTATTTATTAGGGGGACGTTCAATGGAGGGGACTTGCACAAGAGGGAGGGTTTTACATGCTTAACGTTTGAAAAAGATATTTAAGATCTGATAAAACTCGCATTTTATTCTGGTCTAATTGTTTTTAACGAAATTGTAGAAATCAGCAAAAAGAAATCAAAAAGTCGCTGTTCATCCGTTTGATCGCTAAATAAGAGACTTTGTGTTTTCTAATTTCCTAAATCAAAAATAAACATTTTGGGCCTTTTGTCTGAATACAACTATCGACAAAACATTAAATATAGAAGAAACAAAGCAGAAACTAACAGTAACAAGAATATACATATTAAGTTGTTAAAGCTATTAAGAAAGTTACAATTTCTTCCTACTAACTAGATATTATTTGTGTTATAACAAATGTTTAACCTATGGAATTACAAATGTTAGGGAGTCATTGATATCATTTGTTGGGGAGACGAGTTAGCGTAAGCCAGTAGGGTTTATGTTACCCTGGGTACCAGACTCACTATATATGAAATAAAATAGAGAGTCTGGTCTAGTGCGCCCCATTCTCGTTCTGGTGTGCTTATATTAACCAATCAGGAGCGAGTGTACAGATTTCTGTACGTTCAAAGGTCACAGCGAAACAATAAACTTAGCTCTGGTGTAAAACATTGAACAGAACACAACATAAATAAATGGTAGCGACTGTAACGATTTAGTTTGAAGATGCTGTTAAAACTGTACTCAATGAATATTTTCCGCATGTTGTGGAACTTAACACAGAACAACATTGAAAGCCTTGTTTGTAGAGAGAAGAGACACCTTCGCCATAAGGCCAACTGGCTTTGGAAAGTCTCTGATATTCAAAGCTGTGCCTCTCTCTCATTGCAAAGAAATTAGGCCTTGTAGTGAAATGCAGTAAATAAGAAACACCGCAAGGCGCCGAGAACAAACAACAACAAACACAAGTAAATCAGTTATGGCTAATATTTCCCCCGGCATACGGGGCTTCGCTTGTCATATTGGCCATATTTGCTGTGGCGAACTTCCAACGTGATGATTCTAACCACCGCGGTGTCCAAGCGCGCTGCCTTCACAGTGAGGAAGCAGGGGCGAAAATACCGGGTGGGTGTGGGGGGGTGTGACACCCCCCCAATCTTAAAAATAGTCAATTTCGCAGGGCAATCGAAGATTTCGCAGGGCGCCAAGAAGAGCTTTTTTGCCACGCAGAAATGTCACCTCTGAAGTTCGTAAAGGGCCGTTTAGGAATTTTGAAATGGAAATATCACATTTGTTATGAACCTACCTTCCTGATATTGCATTTTAGAGAACGGAACAGGTATGTAAGGAAGAGCTCCGTTATTTGCAAAGCGAAAGCATGTTATACCGAAAGTCATAGCCAATGGATGCAATGATCGATGCATATGTTTATGAGGGCAAGGTTGAGTCCATATAAATTAATTTAAGTTGTAAATTATTTTCATGACAGGCACGGCGTCACTGGGGGGAATAGAGGGCTGAAGCACTCTGGTCAAGATAAGAATTTTTTTATCATTTTTCTATTAATTTTAACAGTGCATGAAATAAAAAGGGAGCAAACTGTTAAGATGCCAACTTTGTTTGATCTAATTACTAACTTTTTCACGTATATTTTTATTATTTTTCTTTTATTTGCATTAATTCAGTAAATCACTTTCTGTATCATTGCAATGTTTTAATTTTGGATGGCCTTCTCGATACAAGAAACTGCACATTTCTGTTCAGGAAATAAAATTCTCCCAATCAAAACAACATCTTCCTCTGTCATTCACAACTATGTGCAGTCTGAAACGAAAGGTTGACGTTTCTTTTCTTCCCCAACGTGTATCACTAGAGTTTTAGCATGACATGCCTGTTTATTTTTCCCAATAAACAATAATCAGTTTTTTAGCACAATAGTATTTTGCTAAATTTTAGTCTGAAAGATGCTTTTTAGCCCTATTACAAGGTATAATTTCAAAAATTTTCTTCACGTCGGACCCAACCATGGTGGGTCCTCCTATATCACTTAACTTGATTCTTAGTCCCCCCAGGCTCAATTTCGTTGCTTCGCCCATATACTGCACCAAAAAATCATATGCCACGAGATAGAAGCTTTATTATCAAAGAAAATCAAATTTGATAAATAATTTACGCTCACGTAGAGAAATAGATATTTCATAGGCAATGAAGTTTCAAGTTTGTTTTTATTGCTTAGAAGTTTGTCCTTGGTAAAGACCAGTGTACACTGGTAAAGCTTTCACTAGTAACCTATAGACAAACCGTTGCTACGAGGTCTGCAGGGCACCACTCAGTTTTGCAGGGCAGAAACCCTTTTCACCCCCCAAACCTACTGGCCAAGTTACGCCCCTGTGAGGAAGTAGACTGAAAGTACACACAATTTATGTGGAAAATTACAAAAGTCTTATTTTAAGTTGTATGCGAAATTTAACAATGATTAACATTTAATTACTGCATTGTGCTAACTTTAATTTCATGCTTCGCATATGCTTTTTGCTGCCAAGGCGTTTTACACCTGATTTGATTGGAATCTTGAGGCAGAAAAGTCTGTTATCACTGTATTAATAATGTCAATTTTACAGAACTATATAAAATACATTGGCTTTAAGATTTCCCAAAACTCCTCTGACTACTGAGTTTCTTTATTATTTTTCTGACAGTCTTGTTTCACAGGCCTAGTCTGTTAAATAGACTTCAGTTTTTTCAAGTAAGTTCACAAGAACGAGAATGGGGCGCACTAGACCAGACTCTCTATTATTTTATATAGTGAGTCTGGTACCCAGGGTAGGTTTATGTAGCCCCCCCCCCCCACCCCATTAAAGGGGTAGGTGCATTTTGCCTTTTACGGCAGAGGGACAATGAAGGGAAGTTGAAAAACATATACAACGAAGATCCAGTTGCTTAAGACAGGTAGATATTCAAAATATTATTTGCTGCATATACATCAGGCCCCATTGGCCTATCGCACCAGAAGCGACTACAACTACGATGTAAGTAGCAAGACTTGGCCTGGTTTGGCAATTGGCATTTGTATGCAAACATGACAAAAGTATTAATGATGATTAAATGAAATTTAATCAGAGTTAATTTCCCGAGGGGCTTTTGAGCGTTAACTAAATCGCTTGAGATAGTTGTTATTACTATTTCGTTATGTTTTCTTGTGCCACGCTTCCTCGCGTTTTTCTTGTATCTGCTCTATTAGCTTATGGGCAATGCGGGGAGTCTTTTAGCCTCCTGAGGATTTGATTTGTTAAACTAGGGTTAGATGTATGTTTCGTGGTGTTTTCATTCCCTTCTTGTCTCATCTCGGTCTCACCTTGCTTGGTAAAGCGTCAATACAAGTAGGCTGTTTATTTTGTACGTGACGTCTCAATGAGAGCTTGTTATCGGATGAGTGAAATGGTGACTCGCCAGGTATGCGTTCCTCTACTGATTAATCAGATATGTTTTCGAGCTATTTTAGATAATGCTTTGAAGTTTTGACAATTTCACCTGGTATTGATACGGAGTCGAGCGTTCAAGGTTCGTTCGTAGTAAAATTTTTTGTCACCTCGTGCTTCGGCTCTCTCAGTGGACTTCTTCGCTCTTAATCCAATTGCAGCTACAATCCTTGCGAAAAAATTTTGTACACCAAGCAGAAACTTCGCATAACTTCGATAGCATCCCTTGTCCCCCTTGAAACAACGTTGAATAACAACAGCTTCAAAGCTTGGAGTTCAACCAATGTAACTCACTCAGCTAGGGTAAGTAATAGGCTTTTCAATCAACATTGTTTTAGGGGGAGGGGGATATTTCTGTATCTTACGGCCGGAAACCTTTATTTCATCAATCTTTCATTGGCCGCAGGGTGTTCCAAGGACTTCTGGCAAAGATTTCAGCAAACAATCAGGTGTACCATCAGCAAGCCACAGAAGCCAACTGTCGCCCTGTACCTTTCACACTAGGATTCACTAAGGTTATTCGCAACAACTGAACAGCATATAATTTAAAATTAAACGATACTGACCTGAAATGGAAGTTGAAGTTTGATTGTAATTATATGAGTCATCAGCCAGGAAATGAAAGAGTAGTTTCAGAGAGAGCACAGCGCATGCGCAAGCCAGTTGCACTGTCATGTCGGCAAACCTTGACTCGCGTGTTTTTTAAGCATCAGCATCATTCCTTTTAGTAGCCGTTAATCTTTCAACTGTTCCTCGCTATAAATGTAAACAACGTCTGAAGTTTTTTTTATTGGTGGTGTTTATGCTTGGAAATTCCAAATTTTGCAATCCAAACAAATAAACTTAAACTGAATTTAAGTTATACAGTATTCTGTCCAATTAGCGGACACCGTCGGGGCACGAGCAAGGTGTCCGCTAATTTGAAATGTCCACCTTTTGGAAAGTTTTGCAATGTAAGTCCCAAATTTGAAAATAGACCCGAGTTTTGTATATAAAAGGTGTAATCAGTGGTGGCGCCAGGGGAGGGCTACAGCCCCTCCGTCGGAAGCCAAGCCCCCCATCGGAGGAAGTTATTGGAAAGAGGTTGAGTCGTGGAAGTGACTATGGTCTGGAGATTCCAGTAATTCACCACTTTCGTGGACGAGAAAAGTTAGTAAACCGGGCTGTAAAGAAGTTCAAAGCTGTAAAAAACCAACTAGATTGTCAAAAGTCAAAGTGTTTGAAATAGATGTTTGAACAAATATTCATTCGTCTAAGTTTTTTGTTTGCTAGCTCCTAACTTATTTGTATTGTCTGCTTATTGGAGAGAAAAAAAGCCAAATTGACCATTTTGTGCAAAAAATATTGTCCGTTAATTAGAGTGTCCGCTTAAGAAGTGTCCGCTTTTTAGAAAATTTTTAATTAGACTTTGACCAGAAAACGATCGGGGAAGAGAATTTGTCCGCTAATCAGAGGTGTCCGCTTTTTGAAGTGTTTGTTAATTGGAGAGATTGCTGTAGCATCTTTTAAAGATTTAAGGATTTGTTTTGTCGGCAATAATTGTTCGTTCTGTCCTATTCATTCGTTGACTTGTTGCAGCCAGATGAAGCCGTAAGAAATTTCCGCTTTCTACTGGTCTTACATCAAGGGTTCTAGGTGATCGAGAAAGAACCTAGCTTTGATGCTGCAAAGTTTAGATGCTTTTTAAAAGGTTTCTGAATTAGACACAGTGGCGGATTTTAGATGGGGCAACTAGAAGCAGTTGCCCCTCCCTCGACGAGTTGAAGCAAGTATGGCGCCCCTTTTTTGGAAATTGCGCGCCCCTTTTGAAGAATGAGAATCAGGTGAAAAAGTTTCTGAGATCGATAGTTTAATTTGCTTTAAGGATTACTTAAAAGTTATGTTGTTCATTCCGAAAATGGATCTGAAATTGTTGTATACAGCGTTCTCTCGTAATCAATTTTTGAAAAAATTTTCAGCCTCCCCACTACCAACTGGCCTCCTTCAAGTTTGCTCTGGATCCGCCCCTGATTAGACAAATATGCAAAGCTCTTTATTTTGTATTGGTATTTCATTCCCGCGTTAGAAAATTAAAGTATATAGTGAAAGTATAAATTAGCAGCAACCAACGATTACAACATAACGACTTCATTCAACGACAACTTCGACTCGACTGGACTTGCACTGAAAGAACATACGCTTTTAACAACATGAGTGTCGCACACAAAACCCTAATGACACAAATTAACGGCAAATGGACTAATAACAACTAAAATAGAGATGGCACGATGACAAACAAAATGGACTGACGCAAACATCGAAAGACATCCTCATTAACGATAACGAACCACAAACACGATCCACGACAGACAAAACTAGTTGTATAACACTACAGGGGGGGGTCCAGACCCCTGCCCTTTTTCTCAAAGGAGGAAAAGTGTCCTTCTTTTGAAAAAAATGCTTGAATATTTTTTAATCACTCTAATGGAATCGTCATAAATGACACATACCGGCGATGTAATGGACCTCTCAGAAATACAGATGAATGATTTGTCAGACTTTCACGCAGTAATAGAGTCTATGTTCAAGCTCCTACTCTAAAGCATGGTTTATGATGCGCTACGCACTGGTTTTGAAGAAGAATTGTTCTGGGACTCAAAAACCAAAATAAAGGCACAAGATTCACCAGACTTTGAATGGAATAGGCCCCTACGACCACTGGTAAAAAAGTCAGAAGAAAGAAACCAAGACATCTTTCTGTCTGTTTCAATGGCCCATATAATTGAAAGATTCGTAGAGGACTGATGTTAGCAAGCAGTGAAGATACCACAACAAGTTAATGTTCAGCTGTTTCATTCCTCAGCTGAAGTTGATGTTCAACAGGGCCGCCGGAGCCGGGGGGCACGGGGGCACAGCCCCCTTGTTTGGAAAAAGTGTGGAAAGTGCCCTTTTTTGAAAAAAAATATTGCGTGCACTATTTAGATAGTGATAATCTCTATTCTGTGTTTCTGCCTCGATTTGAAACTATTTGCAATTCAACCGGTCTATTGAAAACACGAATATTATCTGAGCTGCATAAAAATCGAATTGAACCAGTTAATCGTGGTCTAAAATCATTCTTTTGAACCTTGTTACTTCAATTTTACTCCGATATGTCAATGGAAAATGGTAAAGAGACTGACAGCAGCCCGTCTGACGATAGGCCACCGTGTCAAGATGCCAGAGCAGATGCTTCAATTCCCAATTTTGTTGAACCAGAAAGAGTCATTCTAAAGCAAGGAGATTTGCCAAAATGGCTTCGCTCACAAGCATACAAGGACTTAATTGGCTTTATTACTACTCTAAATGAATCGATCAAGGGAAGGTCTTTACATGAAAATTTCCACGTTTCCGAACCAGTGTTGAAAATTTCAGCTGTCCTAGGCATGTTGGACACGTGGATAGATGAAATTCCTCCCGTCGAACAACCTCAAAGATTTGGAAATAAAGCATTCAGAGACTGGTTGAGTAAGCTCAATGAATGTGCCGAGGACATCCTCAGTCCAATACTGAATGACAAATATACAGGGGCTGTGTCTGAACTAAAGTCATATTTCTGTGATGGGTTTGGAAACATAACGCGTATAGATTATGGCACCGGACATGAAGCTGCATTTTGTGCATTCATGTGTTGCTTATATAAGCTGAGGATATTCACAGAGAGAGACAATCTTGCACTTGTTTTTAAAGTGTTTCATGAATACCTTGAACTCACCAGGAAACTACACAAGGTATACAGAATGGAACCTGCAGGAAGCCAGGGTGTCTGGGGCCTGGATGATTTCCACTTCCTGCCATTTATTTGGGGTAGCTCACAGCTGGTGGATCACCCATCAATCCTTCCATGCCACCTAGTTGAGCAAGAGACTGCGATACGTTACAGCAATGACTACATGTTTTTTGGTTGTATAAGATACATCAATGAAACTAAAACTGGTCCCTTTGCAGAACACTCAAATACCCTTTGGAACATCAGCAGTGTTCCTTATTGGTCCAAAGTAAACACTGGATTAATGAAAATGTACAAAGCTGAAGTTCTTAGCAAGTTTCCTATAGTCCAACATTTCAGATTTGGAACATTAATGTCCTGTAAGCAAGCTTGATTTCTTTGTTTTTTCAAAAAGTTCTTGAAGAATAGATGCTGGAAATGAGCTTTCTGGCATTGACAAATAGTTTGTATCAAAGGCTTGAAATGATTATTTATGGTTGATACATTTTATCAATTGGCATAATATAGCAACTGGGAATAATATAGAAGAATACTGCCAATGTATTAAACTATTATAGCAAATGCTGTTGATAACAAATGAGACTTGAGTGTCCTTGTTTATTTTTTCCCTGCCTTGATATCTTTTTTTGAAATGAAATTATCCTATGGAAGAATATTTGTTTTTTTGATATGATTGGGGTCATTCAAGTAGTACATACGCAATATTTTTTGTATTTTCCACTCTGCCTTCCCCCTTGTTTGCAGTTGTACTTCTTTGGTGACCCCTACTCCTTTTGCATAGGGTTTTCTTTACGTTGACCCCCCCCCCCCTTATTTGCAATTTGACAACAAAGTGTGCACATCAGTCTGCAGAATACACTGCAAAATTAAGTATTGCACAAGGCTACAGCGCAAAAAGGAACATTTATGTAACAAAAATACAAACTACAAAAGATAATTCATGCAAATATTATTTGAGTTTATACTTAAATTTTTACACTAAGGTCCATAATAAACAATGATTGTGGTAATGAATCTGTACCTAGTTTCATGTCCACAATCCACAAATGATCCCATGGTTGTAGTTTTAAGCCAATGATCAAACCTTGTTTTAAAACTCGAACAATATCTAAAAACACTTTGTGTACATACTTTAACTTCATCACCCCCTTCCCACCTTGAATGTAAACATATGCTTTTTGAAAAACACCTCTTCCCCTGTCCTGCATACATACTTTGTGAATGGCCCCATTTGGCCTTTTGGCTTTATTTTAGCCTTTTCCAAGCCTATTCCCTCTATTAACTGATTCGCCTGCTTACTTTTGAAAGTATTTTCGAAACATAGTTGTCAATATGGTAATATTTGCAATTTCCATGTTTACAATAAATATCGGGTTCCACTATGTGTGTTGTTTTTCCATCTGCTAGACAAACAAATCATATTTTGAAGAGAATTGTATGGTAAAGATATGAGGTTGAATTTGTTACTCATTAATGCTTCCTTGTGGAAACTGAACCCTTTCCTTTATCCTTTCTTGAGCGTATTCCACAAACACAAACCGATTCCCAGATTTTCTAGTGACAGACCGCATTGGTGAATAACAAGATTTTCACTCCTTTTTCTTGACAAGCTTGCAAAGCTCTCAGCTAATGTCTTCAACAAACAAGGAGGACAAATGTTCAAAGTGCACTCACTCAAATTGTGAATGGGAGGATTCTGAAGTAAACAACGACGGGTTTCATTAGGCAATCAACTTCGAAAACTAATATCTAATTGCCTTGACAGTATAAATGAACACAAATTAAACTGTTTTCTGAAAGACAGAGAACTTGGAACTACTGTGACAGAAGCTTAAAGTCTCTATTGTCAGGTTACGAACATCTTGGGTTTTGCGACTTTTTAATTGGCTTTTGAACTCTTTTGGTATTTTTTAAAAAGAAATAAGTTTTTTGGCTTATTTGCTTTTTTATGCGCTGATAACCAGCCTATTATTCTAGGATATGGGCTGGTTATCAGGCTAGAGCCTTTTTTATAACCTCGAACTTGGCTTTGGGACATGCCAAGCTTTATTTTACAACTACTGTGCTACTGCAAGTTGCGATTATAGGATCCTTAGATTTTTTAGGGATCCTGATTTTTTTAAAATTGTAATACTTGAGCATTTTTTTTCCGAACATTTTTTAGGAGAGGCAAACAACATAGAGCTGACTGATATTCGTTTCATTTCCGTTTTGTAATTGTCGAGATACGCTTGGCGGGGAAGTGTACTTCAAACTACGAAGATTGCGCAGGGACAAGAAAAGGTTTAAAACCAGTTCCTCAAGGCGTTTCTTTGAGGTGTGTATGATGATGACTGTGATGTCTGGAGATTGAAGGGAATGTGGGCACATACTGCGTAACGATTTGGGGGCTACAGTTACGGTTTCTGGAAAGAAAAGTATAGTTCTAACACTAAAAGAGAGACTAACTGCCAGGTGACTCCACTGTGTTTTTGGATCTCAAGTGTTCCTATTGATTATAGGAAAGCCACCCGTTTTATTAACCGGCCTTTCAAAGTGATTTTGCTTCAAAAACCAACAGGATTAACATCAACATGATGCCTTTCGTTATGAATAGAAATTTGAGATTGCCTGCCTCCGAGTCAATCTTAACGTTCTGGTCACTACTGTATTCAAGGTGGGTCCTTTTGGAATAAAGAGGAAAAGGGAAAGATTGGGTAATCTTATATACATAAAAGTGATGTCAAGCAAACTGCTCTCAAAGAAGACCTGGTTTCAACACAGAAAGACCAGCAAAACTTTAAGGTAAAAAATCAAAAGATTGTCGGAGAGAACAGATTCAAGCGGAGAGGGGGTTCAATTTGTGAAGATAGATCAATATACCATCAATTGGGCTTAGGGTATATGGAATTAGGTATCATTTATCTGACAGTCTCCCAATCGAAAGATCTTTTACATTTGAGGCTCATGAGATATTCCACTTTTTAATCTCAAATGCATTAGACCTAGTTCCAATCATACCCTAACCCAATGATGGTATAGATTTGACTCTTCTTTCACATGATCCCCTTCCTGAATCTTCTGTTTCACTCATCCACAAGATCTTTTGATTTTCTACCTTAAAGGTTTGCTGGTCTTTCTGTGTGAGACAGGTCTTCTTTGGAGAGCAGTTTGCTGGACATCACTTCATGTATAAGTAAGATACCCATTTCTTTCCTCTTTAACCAAAAGGACAACCTGAAATAAGTAGCTGACAGTAAAGTTTAAGATGCTCGGAAGGCAGGCAATCCTCAAATTTTCTATCAACGAAAGGCAATCCATGTTGAGTTTAATCCCTGTTGGTTTTGGAAGAAATACATTTGAAAGGCGTGTAATAAAAGGGTGCTCCTATAGATCAAGGAACACTGAGATCAAAAACGACAGTGAGTCACCTGGCAGATAGTCCCTTCTTTTAAATTTTTTTTGTTATATATATTGTTCTTTCAGAAAACTGTAATTGTAGCCAAATCTTACGCAGTATGTGCACATTCCTTCAATTGCTCGATCACAAGTCATACATCATCAGCAACCTCAGAAACGCCTTGAGCTAATGGGTTTAACTTTTCGTTGTCCTGCAATCTTCGTATAGTTTGAAGTACACTGTCCGCCACTACGCGTTATCTCGAATTACACAACGGAAATGAAACGAATATAGTCGCTCTAATGTTGTTTGACCTCTCCTAAAAAATGTTCGAAATAACAAAATGCTCAATGTATTACAATTTTAAAAACAAAATCCAGGATCCTAAAAAAGTCTGGATCCATATAAATGCAACTTGCAGTAGCACAGTAGTTGTAAATAAAAGTTGCCATGTCAAAGCCAAGTCGAGGTGTATAAAAAGCTAAGCTGAATACCAGGCCATTATTCTAAGAATAAATAGGCTTGTTATCAGGCCTAAAAAAGCCAAAATAAGCAACTTATTTCACTTTAAAAAAATACAAAAAGAGTTCCAAAAAGCCAATAAAAAAAGTCGCAAATACCCAAAGATGTGTTTTCGTAAACTGACATATAGATTTAATGCTTCTGTCATCAGTAGTTCCAAGTTCTCGCAGAAACAGTTTAATTTGTTTGGTCCTTAACAAGTCAATGCATTTGATATTAGTTTTTCGAAGTTATTGCCTAATGGAAACCTCGTTGTTATCTTCAGTAATCCGTAAAACATGCTCACAATGTGGTGAGTGCACTTGAGAAATTTGTCCTCCTTTGTTTGTTGAAGACATGTATGCTGAGAGCTTTGGCAAAGCCTTGTCAGAAAAAGGAGTGAAAATCCTTGTTTTTCACACAATGCGGTGTCACTAGAATCTGGAATCGAGTTGTTGTGCTGGAATACGCTCAAAGAAAAGGATAAGAGAAAGGGTTAGTTCCACAAGGGAAGCATTAAGTCGTACAATTCCAACCTCATTATCTTCCTAAACAATTTTCCTCTTCAATAATTATGATTGTTTGTTATGTCATATGGAAACACACAACATAGTGGGATACTTGATTGTAACATGGGGAAATTGCAATATTACCCAATATATACAACTTGTTTTCGAAATACTTTCAAGTAGCAGGCTGAATAAATAATAGAGGGAAGGTTGAAAACGGTAAAATAAAGCAAAGGCCAAATGGGCCATCACAAGTATGTATGCAGGACAGGGGAAGAGGTGTTTTTCAAAAAGCATAGTTTACATTCAATGGTGGGAAGCGGGGTGATGAAGTTAAAGTAGTACACAAAGTGGTTTTTAGTATATTGTTCGAGTTTTAAAATAAGGTTTGATCATTGGCTTAAAATACAATCCAGTGGATCATTTGTGGATTGTGGACATGAACTAGTCAGTTATTACCACAACATTGTTATTATGGACCTTAGTGTAAAATTTTAAGTATAAAACTCAAATAATATTGCATGAATTCTTTTTGTAGTTTGTATTTTGGTTAATAAATGTTCCTTTTTTTTGCGCTGTACCTTCGTGCAATACTTAATTTTGGCAGTGTATTCTGCTAGACTGATGTTTGCAAAACTTGTGGTGTTGTCAAATTGCGATAATAAGGGGGGGGGGGGTCAACGTAAAGATAAAACCGCTATGCAGAATAGGGTAGGGTGGTACACTCAAAGAAGTACAGACCACTGCTAAACCAGAGGGGGGAAGGCATGAGTGGAATAATATCAAAAAAACTATTGGCGTATGTACTAAATTTGATATGACCAATCATTATCGAAAAAACTAAGATATTCTTCCATAGGTATAATTCATTCAAAACAATAAGATATTCGAAGGCGGAAAAAATAATAAAAGGACACTCAATGTCCATTTGTTATGTCACACAATTTGCTAAATAGTTTAATACATTGTGCAGTATTCTTTCTATATTATTCAGTTTGCTATATTATGCCAATTGATAAAATTGTATAACATCAATAATCATTAAGGCCTTTGATACAACTGATTTGTCAATTGCCAGAAAGCTCATTTCCAGCATCTTATTACTTCAAGAACTTTTTTGAAAAACTAAAGAAATTCAGCTTGCTTACCAAGGATATAATGTTCAAATTCTGAAATGTTGGACTATAGGGTAAACTTG